ATCTTCTAGTTTATGATTCTCAAATCGAATTAACTAAAGGATCTACGAACAGCATGATTTTTTTTCTGTTTCAAAGCTATTCTTATTCATTTAGGCCCACTGTCAGAATAGTAGATGTTTGACCAAAACACACACACTAAATGATTTATATATAATTGTAAAAGAGAAAAGAGAGTAAAGAGAGTAAGAGAGTAAAAGAGAAAAAAAGTTATATCAAATTTTTTCCCTGCACTACGATGGTCAACTCAGCCACATATCATTCAAACTGGACAAGAAAAATAGAGCGATTTACAACGTTATAAGTGACGTATTTTATAACGTTATTGAGAACAGCTATGATTACAAAAAAACTCGAGCTTTCTTGGAGATGTGTCGAAGGTTATTCTTCAAACTATACGTGTAAATGAAAAGATAAGAAAAAAAAATCATTTGCCTTCATCTGCCTATCCGATCATAACAGCGCAAAAAAAAGGAATTTACTAAATTGGCTCAGTTAATACATATCCTCACATCAGAACACTTTCAATTCGGGGTCAGTCTAGTTGCTGAAGTTGTCTAGTTATGAGCTCTATCAAAATTAAATACCCCGATTTGTGTGAGTACTTGTGGGGTGGTACATACTTGACGAAGAAAACGTTTCTTCAATGCTGACAACTCTAAGCAAGAGTTTTTTTGTCTCATTTCAATAAAAAATTAAATGAGGTGAATCGGGCCAGATTCACAAAAAATTCAGCGAGTGGAATGAAAAAATACCAGACCAGGAATCCACAGGGTGTGTTGGGATACCAAGTTAAGACTTTGTTGATTGTGGTGAAATGAGCAAGAAAATAAAATACACAATTTTCAAGCATCGTACGAAAGAAGCTTGATTAACGCAGTTTCGATACATGAAGGCCACGAAAAACCCAAAGCCGATTAGGCATTAGCTATATTTCGTTAGGCCAACCTGACGAAAAATCAGTACGAGGTGATTCGACAAAGGCTAAAAGACCTTATGTCTCAAAGAAGCAGTGCTATCCTGAACATATGTCAATTAATGAAATATCTGCAATGGCTCCTTACCAGAATTTGCTTGACCATACTGCTAAAACAATTTCTGGAAACAAAACCTCCCGAAAAAATAGAAAAATTAAATAATCATTCATGGATATTGACGACGAAATGATGATTCGACGGTGCCTTAGGCCAAAGTCAATTTGTCCAAAATTTTTCGTTCAACAGTAACGAAATGAGTGACTCGAATTTATTCATAACGTCAATAGTTCATCCGAAGATCACAAGTGCCTGCTATATCAGTGCTTTAGCTTCGGAAAGAATTCAACAGAAACTTACTAATGTGAATGCTCTCAAATTTTGTATCTCTCCGTTACACGCCAGAATCACATTGCTACTTTCCAATTTGACTTTGAGTTCTCATTTACAAAATTCTCCAATCTGTTAAGCTCCCTTGAATTTTCAGTTGAAAGTATCACACCGGGAAAAATGATTGAAATTTACCTCGGAATTTTCATTTCGAACGAAGAAAATTACTTTAGTTTTATTGAAAATATACTCTCTCTATTGAATAATTCACATCCCCGAGCGTAATTTCAGTAGGCAATGTACTTTTCATTGATAATTAAATATTCATCTAATATATGTGTGAAATCATAACGTATTATTTCACGTGAAGAGAATTACTAACTGGACGATGGGTATTCCCTCTTAGGGATATGTGAATTTACGCCATCTCTTCATCGAATGTAAAATTACACTTGTATTTGTGAGCGACTAGTGTAATGTTGATTCTTGTCTACAGAAGCGCATCGGTTTGTCTGGCGTGTGCATTGAAATATTTTTGTTATTGGTGAAAATAAGTATAGAAGGTGAGTACATTTCTTGTAAAATTGCAATAACTATTTCAATAAACAGATGAATTCATTGAGTTTTCTCATTATGCATTATAGAGTGTTTTTTTCATTATAAGTATATCCTAACCTCACATCGCGAATTATTTTATACTGTATGGAAGAGTACAACACATTTTAACTGATTTTCAAATAATTACAGAAGATATATTTGAAAATGTTTGTGATAATTACTGAATGGTATTGAGAAAAAGAAATATACTTGATAGCAGTGGCGTGACTCATCATCAGTGACGCCGTATGCATGATCCATTTTAAAAATGAGGAATAGTTTCGTATTGGTGGTTGCAAATATCGAACAATGTTTAATCGTAATTTCCTTCACCTAAAAAATATCTGAACGTTTTATTCGTATCTCTTATACTTTTGGATAAATTTGAGGATTTGTGATTCTTATTATTGAACTTGAAAACATTTTTGTGATGGGAGGCAAGTTGGAACTCAAAATTGAAGGAATCGAAAAACACTTTAGGACCTTTTCGTTTCTGTTGAAGAGGTGAACAAAACTCTTCATCACCACTTCATACCATTGCATTATAGCTATATTTGCTATATTTCAGAAAATCTTGGAAAACAATTGGAAAAATCTAATTTTGTATTCAAACGGTTGAATATGTATCAAAAAATTTTTTGAGAAATATTAATATTGGATTCAATGATATCCACGAGAAAGGTCATACGTAAAATGCATAGTTCAGGAATTATTGCCTCTAAATGCTTTCTGCGTGGGATCGGAAAAGGACAATTCGGTACTTAAAACTGGAAATATCGAAAATACTCATACATATTTTTTTGATGTTGAGAATATTGCTTGAAAATTGTAAAATTAGAAAAATCCCATTTTGCGTACCTGAAAAGAATTTTTATAGATCATTCATGTTTATTTGAACAAGTCCCAATAAAACATTGTCAATTGTTTGCATGTTTTTTTCTTTGTATTTTTATCATCATTTAATAATAATAATAATAATCGTCTTTATTGTTACCTAGCTATAGTTACATACAAATATTTAAATAAATTAGAGAGCTAGTTGCTGACATAACAAAAGGCGAAGTTCAACTCAGTTAGCACAAGTGCTACTGAGTTGTTCTTCCACTCAACCTCAACCTCTTCCCATTATTGGTTTTGGAGGTTTAGTGAAAGAGCCAACCTGTAGTGATCTGCATTGGTTTGGAACTTCGCTTTTTGGCTGTTATTTTATATTTCATCCAATAAAGTCCAGTATTATTGAAAGAGGTCATATGAGTCTTTTTTGTAAAGGTGGGAATGAATGCCTTAAAATACTTTCTAGATTAAAATTTTTAATCTTCTTTGAAACTTTTTAGTTACGGGAAAAAAGTTGGAACTAAAAACATGTTTTTATTGACACAAATAAATAAACATAATACGTACCACAATTTTACCGTATTTGCTATAGTTCGGGATATGTTGGTCAAAAATTGAGAAAATTGGAAATTATTGTCTTTTTTTGTATGCTTTCATAAGACAAACGAAAAAGTTGATTTTTTTTTTCTTGAATTCCATGAATCAGGAAATATTTTCAATTTGGATAAAAATTAGTAAAATCCAATTTTTTGTTCCAAAGTTGAAAATGTCCAAATAAAAAAGGGAGGTGTTGTTCGGATTTCTGGAAACTCTGGTGAGAAATAACGGAGATCATAACATGTATATCTTTTTATTTCCAGATAATGTCTGCACTACATGAATATATGTGTGAAACTTGCTCAGAAAAATTTCAACTGTTGAGTAACTACAATATCCATCAAAGACTCCATAGATTCTTATCGAATTGTTCTTACAAATGTTGCGAGGAGGGCTGTTATAGACGCTTCAATTCATATAAAACTTTTTATATGCATATATACAGAAGCCATTCCGAATTAGTTGATCAAAAATTTTCTAATGGGATAAATTGTTCAGTAATGAATTGTTCTCATAAATTTGAATCAAAGAGAGATTTATCAAGTCATATTTCACAACATATAAAAAATGGCCTTCAGATAAAATGTCCTTTAGAAACGTGCAAGGACTGTCAAAATATATATAGAAACATAAATACATGGAGAAGTCATTTATTCAGGATACATGATTTAGACGTTTCCAATGTTGATGGTATGGAAAAAATATTTTCCTCAAACCATGAATCTCATCAATCTCTAGCACATGATTCTATCACATGTGAAACCGAAATTTCCAATAATGAAAAAGATTCGTACATCAGATCTCTTTCAACACTATATTTAACATTACAAGCGAAGCACTTTTTGACTGATAAAGCACTTTCTTCAATAATAAAGGCTGTCAAAGATATGAATGAGATATCTAATAGAAATTTAAAAAAACATCTATTTCAGAATTATAATATACTTGTGGATGAAGAAATATTGAAAAAATCCAATATTTTAATATCGGCTCATGATTCTGAGGGTGAATTGAGAACGAATTTTCTCCGAAAAAAATATTACAAAAATAATTTCAAATATGTTGCACCTATATCTGTCAGACTGGGATTGATTAAAAATAAAGAGAGATCATTTTATTATGTTCCTATTCTGGAATCCTTGAAGGTTTTATTAGAAAATAGGCATGTGATTGAGCATTTGAAGTCGAACTCAAAGCAAAATGTGAACTCTTTATGTGATATATCCAATGGATCTGTTTTTAAACGGAATGAATTTTTTTACAATCATTCCACCAATCTCAGAATAATCATGTTCCAGGATGCATTTGAACTATGTAACCCAATAGGTTCATCTAAAAATAAACATAAAGTAATAGGTATTTATATGCTTCTTGGAAATTTACCTACATATACCTGGTCGAGAGTTGAAAATATTTTGTTAGTAGCATTAGTAAAAGAAGCAGATGTTAAATTTTTTGGATTTCCTGCTGTTTTTGATATTATGATTAGAGATTTGAAAATATTAGAAACAGATGGAATCACTATAGAAGGGGATAATTTCAAAGGTTCTTTATTTGCTATGCTCGGAGATAATTTGGGAAGTCATCAAATAGGTGGTTTTGTTGAAAATTTCAATACTGCCTCGTATATTTGCCGATACTGTTATAGTGAAAAAAAAGATTTCAATACCAAAACAACTGAATTTATATATCGTTCTATAGATTCTCATAATTTAGATGTGGAATTATCATCTATGCTGGTGAATGACAATCATTATAGAGGAGTTAAGAGTGACTCTGTATTGAACCGCTTAACCCACTTTCATGTATGTAGCCCTGGTTTACCACCATGCTTGGGTCATGATATATTTGAAGGTGTAGTTCAATACGATGTAATGCTGGTGTTGAACTATCTCATCAAGAAAAATAATTGTTCAATAGAGACATTGAATATACGTTTGCACAATTTGAAGGTTAATGATATCTCAGTGAATTTCCCACCATTTAAAGAAAAAAATGAGAGACTACTTGGATCTGCTCATGAGAACTTATTATTAATACAGTTGATTCCATTTGTCATAGTTAACTTGTTAACTGATTTAGAAGATCCAGTTTGGCAAATGCTTTTGCTGTTACGGAAAATTTGTGGAATTTTATTATCTGCAAAGCTATCAGTTGGTCAAGTATTTCATCTGAAATACATGATAAATCAATATATAACTGAGCGACTCCAATTATTTCCAGACATTCCTTTGAGACCTAAACACCACTACCTTTTACATTATCCTCATCTCATAATACAGTTTGGACCACTTAAATATCTTTGGACATTGCGTTTTGAATCAAAACATAAATATTTCAAGACTATTGTGAAGCACTGTCCTAATTTCCGTAACATCCTTCTTTCTTTGTCTGAAAAACACCAATTGCTCCAAGCCCTACAAGCTCATCAACCGAATGTTTATGAAGATAAAATAATTTCAGATAAAGTTGTTCATTATGAGAGCAAATATTATTCACATACATTCCAAATCCTGCTTGAAAAATATTTCGATAAAAACGACGTAGTATTTGTGAGTGAATACGTTTGTTACAGAGGCACCATTTATAAAAAATCATCATTTTTATGTTACGGTCAGGATCAGTATGGCGATTTTTTGATTCTTGATTTAAAAAATATTATCATTGATAAAAATTATACGAAATTACTTTTCATTGGGCAATCTTTCACAATCTGTTACGATAATTGTCTGGGTTTATACAATAAATTAAGTGATGGGAAACTGGAAGCATGTTTATATGACGAACTTTTACTGTATGAACCTTTACACAGTTCGTTGGTTAATAATAAACTATTCTATTATTTGAAATCTACACCTTATTGTGACTTGTAGTCAAGTCAAAAAGTTTGCAGAGAGGCGTCGAAAACTATTTATTTACTCATAAGCAGAAAACAATTTTTGTTTGAAGGTGATTGACAATGTTTCATGGTGAATTTCTTTAGTTTGGACTTCCATATAATATAATTTGAAATCATATTATAGAAAGAACAATAAAAAAAATCAAACCATATATTATATTAGACAATGGAAGTCCGAACTTATGAAATCCACCAGAAAATAATTGTTGAGCGGGGTTACGTTTAATCAAAGAAATTTTGTATAATTTGTTCATAGAGCAGTATATACGTGATGAAATGATTTTTGTTACGTTTGTTGAATTACCCTTTGTTGTAGGAATATGACTGAAGAGAGAACTGTTTTCAAAATTTGGAATAATTTCCGAACTAAAAAAACAATTGTGGTTGTTGACGCTTCAGATAATAACCTTTATGAAAACTTAATCTTGAAGGGTAAATGAATACACGAAACAATAAGAAATTTTGTTTATATATTTTTAATTTTAGCATCTGAGAAACTACAAATAGATGGATCCCAGTTAGTTTTAGAAACAGACGGCACAACTATCGATGAGAATGAGGCATTAGTTATGTTGAATAAAGAAATATTTATATTATTAGATAAAAACGAGTTTTGGGTGCCTTCTGTTACAAATACTACCAACACCAGCAGCATCATGAGCCTAGATACAACTTTATCAGCAATTTCCACAGATAGTACAGATATACCTAATACAGTTATAGTTTTGGATACGGAAGAATCCAGTCATCCACAAGAAAAAGAATACAATGAATGTGTATGTTTTGTACCTAATGCATTGATTAATGTTGATGAAGCGTACGATGAAAAAGAGAATAAAGTTGGAATATTGAACCAACCAGAGAAAATAATTACAGAGAATTTCTGGAGAAACTTCCACATTCCATGGCATAAGTTACCTCGTACCATACTTAATGAAATACAAACAGGCGGTCGTGGAAAACACATTGAGGAAGAAGTGTTGAGCCTTGTTTTACGAGAAATGAGAACAATTCAAACACGAATTCCCTTGAATTACTTCCGAATCATCGTTCATAAAATCATTGAAAAGTCTCCGAAAACATTTCAGGATGTTGATGATGACGGTGTTGTGCTTGGCGATGGATCAAGTACATTGTTATTGAAACTGAAAGATAGAAATAATTATAAAAATCAGCTGGTGAAGAGAAAACATGATACAGCAATAAATGAAATAAAAAAGAGAAGGAAAACAAGTGAAATATGCATTGAAGAAACATCGCAAATCGAAAAGAAAAGTTCACCGATAGAACAACGGAGCATAGAACATAAAATTACTGACATAAATAGAGATTATGAAAATCTCTCAGATATAGAACTGGAACTTTTATTGGAGGAAACTTATGAGAAACAAAGAATGCTCATCGATAAAATATTGCCCATCATTCAAATGAAAAGTATGTGGCCTTGCTTCTTTCAAAGGCGTTTTATTTTCTGGCATTATCAAAGATTAATGGGACATTCATTGAACCAACTGGAAACTGCGATGAAAATGAAAATTGATCGTCTGTTGGATTATCTCCATATGAAAAAATATATAGGAAAAACACCAATTGAAGCAAGTGATACAGAAAAATATATGAACTTATTGAAAGGCTTAACTAAGCATTTCAGAGAAGTTTTCGACTATATTCTTAAAACTTTGAAGGTAGTACTTTATAATTAATTCATCAGTGAATATGAACTAAATGAACTTTATATTTTCTAGAGTCAGGACCAAGTAAACGAAGTGGAGTCTTTGCGGCCATGTCTCATTTTCGTAGAAGGTGAGTTGAATTTTGACTATAAGATTTTTATTACATATATTATCTTTATGATTTTTATTCACGGCGTATAATTAATTTAAGATTTTGGGCGAATGAAAAATATTACTCAATGATATATCGATATATTTTATTTTCCAGATGACAGTAAATATTACATTGTCATAGAGAAAATCATTGTTAATGATGGTACCACCGATTTCATTGATGCACTGAAGCAGTGCTATGGATGTTTTTATATATTCAATATGAAATACCCCGAGAGAGCTTTATCAACAATGGAATTTCTGCAGAGATATTTCATGAAAACACATCCTAGCACCGGGACCAAAGCCAGCACTTCTGGAACGAACAAAAATAGCGTGATAAGGTTTTTGAAGAATTTTGCAGAGTTTATTACCAAAGTAAGTATAACTGTATTTTTGTATATAGTAGTTTTTCTCTAGGAATGTGTGTTCGTCAACTTACTGTGTTCGGACTCATTTTTAATTTTTTGAAATGATTTAGAATTCTTTCAGATTTCTAAACCTATTCATTTGATGATATTTCATTTCTCTTTTAGGATAATAACAGCAATTGAAGAAAAAAGGAAAAGAAATGTTACTTTCATTTCTCTTTCCGAATAATAATTCCACCATGAGCAACAAAGAAAATGTGTTAATTTGAAGAATTGTTTTTTATTTTGTACTGTTGTTATTTGATTTTTTTTTAATGAAAGAAAAAAACATTGTTTTGTCGAATTCCCTTTCAAGAATGTTTATGAATTTATTTTATATATACATATTTTTTTAATATATCAATGTGTAATATGTCTTGTGCATTCAATTATCTAAGTTATGAGGAAAAATGGCCACTGAAGTTCAAAAGATACTCGATTGAATTCAAGAGTCAACATCCGATTGAGGTATCATTGTCTTCAAAACTACTCTGAATACGGACCTTCTTGCAACGGAATATCCCAAGGTAATATAACCCGTAAATGAAAAATTACGCCGTAAAATTTTATCAGAGTATAGAATTCCACTGTAAAATTATATGAGAGTGTAAAATTCTACTGTAAAATTCTGTCAAGAGTGTAATATCTCGATATAAATTTATATCGCAAATTTACCCTATAAAGTTTTATTTCAACACAAAAGTACACTCAAAATGAAAAATTACACTGAAAAATTCCACACTTGTCTTCGGGGTAGGATATTGTTGTTTTTATTTTATTTTTATCGTTGTTTTAATAAAATGAATATATTAAATGTCAATATTTCTACATAAACCTCCTTTCGCGAGGAACTTTTTTTTTCTAGCTATGGTCGACAAATATTCGTCACTGGCAGTCTATATCCATCAGCACCCTCGTGGGCAAATATTGATCAAAATTAATTTCACAAAGATTATCAGATTATCGAGTGAAATCTTTTTATTTTTTTTATGGATTCACCTTTCACAAATAATAATGAATGTAAAAAATGATGATTACATCTGAAATGAAAAGTATCATTTACTTTTAACTCGCCTTTTTTTAAGGATAAAACACAAGTAGAATTCTTAAGGCGCTCTAAGAGCGGTGCCTGTGCGAAAGTAGCGATTCACATTGGATTTGAATCGCTGGAGATTAAATCACGCCGGACGAAATTCAACTATGTGATTGTTTGAATAATAAATGGAACGAAAATAACAAACAGCTGCTTGTGTAGCAGCGGAAAGACCGTCAGCTAACGCAGTGGAAGTACAGATTATTTGAGCAATGCAAGAATCTTTCGAGATATATTTTTGTCTTTTATTTTGAACGAAATGCATTATATATAAAATAATACATGAAATCAAAATAACAATCTAAAATGAAGGCATTAAAAAAATGAGAAAATTGAGATTGAGAACTTGGCAGAACTTATTCGTTATCGATGGTAAAGCTATCATAATTGTTCTCTGATGAATCGTCATCCGATCTGTCCTGTAGGAAATCGCTATCTTCATCTTGATCGAATTCTTCAGCTCGATTATCTTTACCATCATCTGTAAATGAACATGTTAATCATCAAAATTAGGCCAACAGAAATATAGAAGCTCAAAGAAATTGTCGGCGACAAAAATTCCGTACCACCCATATGTTCGCTGCTATCCGTCATACTGGTGATCTTCTTCGAACCATGTGAACATATTTCTCTTCTTTTTCTTCCCATTCCCAGTCAGTGGAAGACATGAATAATGTCATCGCCTTCCGCTGGCCTGGCTCGAAAGCCTTACAACTAGGCACCTTCCCTTTATTTAGCGCCACCACGGTCAAGGAAACCCCTACTCCTCCGAACTCACCCCCCCCCCATCGTGCAGTCGACGCTTAACGCCGGCCACACGAAGGAACGAAACCAGCGGGGTAGAAGACCCATTTATATTCATTACCCATTCAACAAAATACATCCAAATGTATAGTACCAGTTATCCAAATACATCCAAATGTTATAGTACCATCAACTTCACCTATTTAAACCGCCCAGATTGCCGGTATGAAAAGTTATTCCCAGATACAAAACCAACAGACGATTTATCTATTACATCGCAATCTTCATCAATCTCTAGTGAGTATGAACAAGAAAGTACTTCTTCCGAAGCGAGTTGGTCTCAAGATAACAAGGACAGACAATTTCAAAATGTAATGTGTAGTGCAACATTGACCGCTGTGGATTCTGAATAAAACATGATCACATTTTGAAATCAGACTCTTATTTTTATGAAACAAAATGTGTAAGTTGCAACTTGTGTTAATACTCATTCGTGCCCTCTGAATAATACTTTACCAATCAATTATATGTACCTAAATGTGCTGCGCAATCTTCACATTCTGCAGAAACAATTCTCTGTTCAGCTTCATCACATACAGCTGTTACAGAGTAACACTTCTGTTTCACATTATGTTCGGGAGTAATACGAGCTTTCACTATACATGTGTTTGCTTCCCTATTTACTTGAACATATCCAATAGCTGAATCGCCATAAGAATATCTTTCGGACCTAAAAACACAAATATTATCACGTTAGAATAAAAAGTGATTGTAAACAATTTTTATAAACAAATTTTTCACTCCATTATTTGAGGTTATGTACACTTTCTCAATGTTAGTAAGCAAATAACTAGAAAACTGAACGAAAAGCTGAAATTAAAGACACTTATATACAATAATTATTCAAGTACCTTGCAGCTTTGACGCCTCTAATCTCAGCTGAAGTGAAATCGGGATGATTTGCGAAAAAACTTGTCATCATGAAGACATCTATTCTCGGCAAATTGTCAGATTGTGCCATGACAAATCCGGCTTCAGTCATTGTATTTATTTTCTGAGACCTTCACAGTAATGATAAAATGATAATAACCAAATAACTGCTTGCAAAACTCTAATTAAACGGACGAACAATAATAGAATAGTACAGAACAGCATGTAAATAACCAGTGTGAAGGCAGCCATGGGTTTCAGCCACGAATTGGGGGAATTTACCATTAACGGAAAAGAGTGCGCCAAGCCACCATTGGTCGTTAAAATTCATTGCTAGCCATGAAAATTTGTCTTTTATAACAATAATTTCATGGCCAGCCATGGAAATTTTCACATGAAACGAAAGTTTTCAACGTTTTCAACAACAGTCCCTGTAACTCCTTCCATCATTTTGATAAAAGAATCATATCTTTTGAAAAATGTGTGCTGCTGGGGTTATTTTCACACAAAAAGAAAGTATTCGGCGTATTCTATGATACCTATATGGTCCTCGATTTTGTCACGGAAAAATACACCCCCTGCAACCTCTTCAATCATTCTGATAAAAAAAATTATATCTATTGAAAAATGTGTGCTGCTGGAGTTATTTTCACATAAAACGAAAATATTCGGCGTATTCTATGATACCTATATGGTCCTCGATTTTGTCGTGGAAAAATATACCCTGTAAGGGTACAATCTCAGGGTTTTTTGAAAGGGGTTGCTGCTGATCCAATGAGACACAGGATAAGGTGCGAAACAATCTATTTTCAGTTCGAGGGGGAGACAGAGTACTTATTTGATTGTTGACTTAGTTCTAAAATAATTACAAATGTTTTAATAAAATAGTTAAAAGTAGTTAATAAAAACTTCACACACGTGNTCTCCAAGCCCACTCTCTCTTTCACCACCTGTATTCATTGATCTGTTCAGCTCTTCCTCTATTTGGTCAATTTTTTCGCCCGATTTGTTCAAAATGTCTTTGACCGTCTCCTCCATAACGTTCTTCGCCTCCTGAATCGCCTTGTCCAACATCCGTTGCTTCTTGGCTTTCTTTTCAGGTGTCCTGGGAATCCTAGTTTTCGGTGTGAAAACTTGTGATTCGTCGCTGGACGAATCTCCTGTCCCGACCTTATTTTTCCGCTTCCTGAATTCCATATTGATTGCAAATTATCAATATGTATTCAAATATGTGCTAAAACACATTTATTTCGACGAATTATAATTTCTTTATCTCCCTTTTTTTTGCTTCGGGAGACAAAAAACTTATCTCCTTATTTCTTATCAGCTCGCTTTTTCGAACTGATTGTTGGTGTTTGCTCGATAAATATTAATTTCGAATATTTTTCAACACTTCTTGCCTTTTATGAATTCCTGATACGTGGGATAGAAATTTTCGACGGAAAATACTTTCCGGAAAGTTTATATGTATTTATTATAGACTGGTTTTTGTCACTTCAGTTATTGTGAAGTGGCAGTGGCCGTTTCAAACACATTCACCTCACGTTTTCGGTGTTTATTATGCACTAATTGCACCAAGTGTCACTATCACAAGTTTCACTTATATGCGTCCTATCAAAGTCTTTCCATTATCATACCCTGTCTGAAATACATCTTTCAAGTACTTATTTCACTGATTTATGATCTCCTTCTACAAAACTCTGCACCGCAAAACCCGTTCATTCTCTTCGAAGTCTGAGAACGAAGTGGAAGACAATAGGGAATTTGCATAAAAATTAGTCACGAAAATTACATCGACAATCAAAAGATATCATTGTTATAAAGCCTTCATCACGAAAAAAATTAATGCTATTTCTATGGAAACATTCAAAGTTTACTAAAAATTTAAATTTCGTCACGTGACCGGTGGCCATTCCATTTATGTTGAACTGTTTGCGTTTGCTGGTTAAAAGTTTCTGTTGTTTATTATGATATTTTTGTCCAAATCTGCGATTTTTACCGTATTTAGTTAATTTTACACAGTATTAAGTGTGTAAATGCGAACAAACATGACCGACGACGGATTTACAAAAGGTCAATCCGATAATCTACCAGTTGTTGATATGTTTATGATTTGCTTTCAGTGAAGTACGCGGAGTTGAAATAGAAAAGAAAGTACAATTATTATTTGTTGTAAGTTTAATCACTATATATAAATTCTATGTACCTCTGTGACAAACATTGATAAATAACTCATAATTTTATCACAACTTCCTCAAGCACGTTATTTTAGGTAACATCCCTCCGCCTTCGGCGTCGGGATGTTACCAAATAACGTGCTTTCGAAAACTGTGATAAAATTATTTCGTTAGTTATCAATGTCCTTGGGATATTTTAGCTGATAACAGCTTCCTGCTAAAAGTGCTACTTGTGCAGGATCAGCAAGATGAACACTTGTGCTCCAGACAAAGCAATTGCTGACACTGTTCAAATATTGTTTTTCATACCAAACATATAAATAGACTCTGCGAGGTCAGAGGATGTTCATTAACGATTTATTATTTCTCAAGTATAGTTCATATCAATTACTTATTCAGTTAATGTTCCAAGTTTTTCACATTATATTCAAATATTGTAATAAAGTGTTTATAAAGAAATAAACCAATTTTTAAAAAGTGAATTGTGAAAAACAAGATATAACATAGCTGATGGATGTCCGTCAGGGGTTTCTGCTACATAAGCACTGATAATTTTTGTCAGTGTAGCATGAAACTGTTCTAAAGATCCGTTTGATTGGGGTTAGTCTGTATTTGAAAAGAATATGCTTCAGTAAACTTTGTAAGTTCGTCTCTGATAGTTAAGACGTGTTTATCAGTTGAAAGTTATGAGATATCAATGTTGATACTTTCAACAGGTGTTTTGTTTTTGATGTTAGTACTGACAAAAGAATTACTGAGTTTTTTTGAAATTTTTTTATTTTCGACAGATTTAACATTTTTGAATATTATTTTCTATGTCTTTTGTTAGGCCTTGCCAATCATATTTTTGTTTTATTCTTCTCAGAGTTTTGTTTATTTTTCTATGAAGGTTGGCTTTACCAATATGATATTGATCTAGTAAAAAGGGTATTTGGTCACGATCGGGTGTTGAAATTGTTATCACAAAATATAAATTTGATATCACGTCTGCTAAAATGTATGATAAAATTTCTTATGAAACCTACATGTATTATTTTCTACATGTAGGTTTCAGAGAGTTTGAATTTGTGTTGATCGAAATAGATGGTTAGGAACATATGTGATAGGGTGTCGTTGGAATCAAAGGGCGTTGCAATGAAGTAATATTTGGAAATCATAGTCTTATTCGAATAGATCTTACATGATTTTACATGTACTCCCTGGAGTTTATTTCATTGGAAAATTGTTAATATGTTTTTATGACTTTCATCTAATAATTTAGAATTTGAAAATTAAATATTCGAGTAATCAATTACTAATATAGTTTGCCAAAGTTGGTGGAAATTTTGAAATTCTTTTTGTGAGAATTTCACGAGAGATGTCAGATGTTTCAGTAATAACCAGTAATAACCAATGTCACTGTTGTTTGTCAAGCTTTTTCTGTGAAATCCAAAAGCGTCTTTGAAATGATTGACCTTTATTCGAGATAAGGCGTCTGTGTTTTTATTATATTTTCCAGGTTTATATATTCGTTCATAATCATATTCTTCAAGTTTTAGTCTCCATCTGGCAATTCTACTACCAGGGTCTTTCATACTGAAGATCCACGTTAATGATCTATGTGTCTGTGGTCACAATATAATTTGAATTTTCTTCCATAGAGTTGAGGTCTGAAATATTTTACTGCCCACTCTATTGCGAGTTCTCTTTCAATAGTGAAATATTATGTTTTTGGGGGACGTAGTCTTTTTGTGATAAAATTGCTCCTAGGGCGAATGCGCTAGCGTCCGTTGTTAGAATGAATGGTTCATTGAAGTTGGGATATATTTGCACGGGTGAATGGATTTGAGTTCTCTAAATGCTTTTTTATATTCTTTGTCGAATAAAAATTGTTGGTTTTTCTGTAATAGTCTTGTTATTGGTTTTGTTATTTTTGCAAACCTGCTAACCCTAATGGCAAAGTTGGTTTAAATCTGCGGTAATAACCTGCTAATCCTGAGACATATTTAATTTCCTTTTGGTTAGTTGGTTCTCGATATTCAATTAAAGCTTCGATTCTATCGCTACTTCTTTCTTTAGAAATTCACATTTACAAGGTTGAATTTTGAGATTTGATTTTCTTAAACGTTTAAATTTTTCGGTTAAACTGGAAATTTGGTCATGGAGTGTTGCAGAATAGATAATTATGTCGTCTATATAAACGGAACATCTTTCTAATAGGATGTTATCCATAACCAGTTGAAAGGTTGAAGGAGAGTTCATTATACCAAACGAAGTACGAATGAATTCGCAAATGTCGCTTTTCTACTGAAAATGCTGTTTTTAGAATATCGTTTTCATATACTTCAATTTGGTGGAAACCTAAGGCTAAGTCTAAGGTTGCAAAGTTGGTATCCTGTACGAGTTGATCTAATAAGTCACTAATGTTTGGTAGGGGATACTTATCATCAACAGTTACTTGATTTAGTCTTCTGTAATCAATGAATACTATCCATTTTTGTTTTTCGGAGGCGTCTAACTTTTTTGGGATAACACATACTGGAGATGACTAGGCTGAATATTTGGTATTTCACTTCTCTCTTAAGAATTTGGGGGTACCGATGATATTTTGTGAATATTGATTTTAATATAATTTATCTTCTACTAAATAGAAAATATCGAAAAATTCGATACATAAGCCGTCTTTTAGTTCTCTTTCTTAATCATTAAGATGTTCAAGTCTGAGATTAGTTTTTATTTCATTCCTTATATTAATGGGAGGTTCATTTTCATTTGAATTTTGAATTGGTTCTCATTTCAAGTCAGAGAAATCAATTGTTTTCTTGATTGGATTTGCATTTACGATTGTTGTAACGAATTCGCATTTTTCATTTTTCTTTATTAATGCGTTGGGAAGTCTCATTCTCTTTCGAATAATTTTATGTAATATTAGACAAAGGGTATTGGAATGTTCTGCCAGAGGCTTCACTAGATGTTCCTATTCACAGAAGGTCCAACAGGGTTTGACGATTGTGGTTGTCTTGGGATTCGCTGTCAGGCGCTGTCGCTGTTCCTAATCCACAGAACTCTCAAGACGGGGTTTTGTGTGTTTTCTTGTTTGTTGCGTTTTGTGGTGCTTGTCTTGGTTGTGGAGGATGAAATACTACTTCGTAAATCCACTGCTCCACTGCGGATGAGTAACGGCTTGCGACTTACACGTGTTTCCTCAGCATCGAAGAGACCATCCTTCTACTTGGGTTGCTTTTGGTTCTTTTTTTTTTGACGATCTGGGGATCACCGGTGAATTCTCTGGTGCAACTTTTCTTCGCTTCAGTTTTTGGAATTCTACGTTTTGGAATTCTCCGTTTTGGGAATCCTTACGACTGCGCCACTTGTTATATTTGAAATTCTCAAATAAAATTTCCAAAATGTTTTAATTTACAAAATACCAAGATACACTATAAACTTGTCGACTTGAAACAATCGCTTGGCCAAATCAATGACGAGGCTCTGGTATCCCCTGTTTCTTACGACATAGTACTAGACAATGAGCCATTGTGCTATTTCATATAACGGAAATATCAAGAACAACGAAAATCATGCTAACCATGAGGTTAAATGGTTACAAAATCAATTAGAATACTTCCAAAAGAAGCACTTACTCCAAAACACCAGAACTACAACACTTTACTCCACGTGTGTTTCAAATAATGCTAACCATAAGGTAAATTGGTTACAAAATCAATTAGAATACTTCCAAAAGAAGTACTTATTTCAA